TCCAAAGAATGGAGGACTCTGCATTTCCTTATCCCTTTTCCAGGGCCAGGATTAGTCATTATAATTACAGGACATTCAGCTTTGTTTTTACAGTTCTTTTCATTCCCATTGTAATCATTCTGCCGATTGTTTTCATGCTTTTGTGTACTCAATTCTGCCTCAGTTTATACAATTCTTCCCACATTTCACTGAGTCCCTCATATTTATCATTTCTTATAATGGCAATAATATGATGGCAACTAGGTGGCTCTTTGCATAAAGCCTGGGTTTGCAATTAGGAAGACTCTTCATTGTGAGTTCAAATCTGACCTTACTAGCTGTGTGACCCCAGGCAAGTCACTTAATCCTGTTTGCTTCAGTTTCCTAATCTATAAAATAAGCTGGAAAAGGAAATGGCAAGTGACTCCAGCATCTTTTCCAAGAAAACCCCAAACAGGGTCACGAAAAGTTGGACATGATTGAATAATAAGACAATATCATTTTGTCACATTCATATATCTCAAAAAATCATAGTTGTAGAGCTAAAAGGCACTTGGGAGGGCATCTAGTCCAACCTCTTTTTATAGATGAGGTTGCGGAAGTCTGCAGATATTACATGACGTCAAAGATCATAGAAGTTGTAAACTTCAGAGATGGGATTAGAACCCAGGATCTCTAAAATTAGTCAGTACTCCTTCCACTATGTCGTAATGGTGCTTAGATTTAGAAATGGAATTGACTTTACAGATCATTTAGTCCACACCTGTTATTCTACAGAGGAAGCAATTGAAATCTGGAGAAATTAAGTGACTTGCCCATGGTCATTGAAGTAATAAGTAGCAGAGCTGAAATTTGAACCCAGGTCCTCTGACTTCAAATCCAGGGCTCTTGACATTACTCTTTGAAGCCAAGGAAGAGAGCATGTCACAGTAGAAGAGGGCTGTCAACAGTATTAGATGCTGTAGAAAAAGAGAAGTAGAGGAAGACAAGGACTGGAAAATAAAGACAAATTAATTTCATGATTTGGTCATTGGTGGCCTTTAAGAGAGAAGTTTCAATAGAGTGGTGGAGACAGACTTTAAGCACTTGTTTTGGGAAGAAGTAGAGGCATCAGTAGTTAACTTTTCAAGTTTGGTTGAGAAGGTGAGGGAGAGAGATGAAAAGAGTAAGTAGCTGGTTAGGGGAGAAGGGTCAAATAAACTTAATTTTTATGATTGAGAAGGCTTGGGCAAATGGAAGGATCTAGTGAAGAGGGAGGAAAGAAATGAGCATGTATTAAGTACTTACTATGTACCAGGCACTGTTCTAAGCACTGGGGACACAAATACAAGCAAAAAGATAGTCCCTGCCCTCAAGGAGCTTACATTCCAATGAGGGAACACAACACCCAAAGGGAACTAAGACAGGTGGCTTGGGAGTGGAGGAAGGCACCTAATGGTTTTAATGTCCAGAAAGTCTGGAATCAGGCTAGGAGAAGAATGAAACTAGGTCAGCCTGAGCCCTTCAACAAAATGGAGGAACTCACCAATGGGAGAAGTAGGGCTGGCCTTGTGGAGGAATATTTCAGGGTTTGTGGGCTTCAGGGCTCATAGGCTGTTGTTGAAGAGCAAGGAAGTCCCAGAGAAATCCCAGGATGAGCTAACCACAGAGGAAGCGTGGTTTTGAAGCCCAGAATAAGATTTTGGTGGAGGCAGCATTAGGGCATTGGGTAGAAGAGGCAGTTGTAGGAGGAAAAGATTTCATCTAAGGCAATAAGCAGAATGATCAGGGTTGAGATCCAGTATTATGGAAAATAGATGGAGGGCATATTTGTAATGGTAGTTTGTGGGATTAAATGGCCCCAGGGTTCTGTGGAAATTTGTGGGATACTGGTCCTAGTGTTTCTTTTCCTATGTTGATGATGACTATCATAGCAAGAGCAGCAGATTCCAGACTTGAATGAAATCTCATCCCTAAGGGTTCTTTGGTCTACTTAATGATGTGGCTGATGAAAGATGAAACATGGCTGTTGGGCAGCAAGTTACCTGATGAGTGACAGTTTGAAGGAGTAGCTTAAATTTTAAAATATTACAGAGAGGAACATTTTGTTATTTATACCAGTCTCTTCTCACACTTAAGAGTTGAGGGACATGGTGCTACAAGTGCTAAGCAGTATAAAGGATAACTTAGGCTCCAAGCAACAGTCACCTACCGTTACTGGGACAAGGCCAATGAGTGTAACCTTCTGAAAATAAAACCAACAAAGGATGACATAAAATGAATTAGTGAAGTTAGTCAGCTGAAGTGACTTGTCCTAAGAGATGGGGTCAGTGTGATATAGTAGAAAAAGTGATGGATTTGGGGTCAGAAGACCTGGGTTCAAATCCTGATTGGGCCACTTTACTACCAATGTGACCTTGAACAAATCACTTAACATCTCTGGGTCTCAGTTTCCTCATCTGTAAATAATGAGGAAGTTGGACTATTTGATCTATAAGGACTGTTTGGTTCTAGACATATGATTGCATGAGTCTTTAGATAGAGCTATCCAACGTAGATAAGGGTCCTTTGTAGAGCTGCCACAGCTCAGTGGGATCATCCACTCAGCCTAGTTCTGATTCTCTACTCCCTAAGCAATATTTGGATCTATACTTTTGCCTCCTGAATGCACCTGACCACCCAGAGAGAGATCTAGGGACAAATGACCTATAGTTGTTCTCTTGCCCAATGCATGTTAGTAAATTGCCACTCTGATGTATCAATCAGCCTCCTGGTGGGAGTCAATTCCTCAGAGCCTGATCACTCTGGTGGGCTAATAGAAATGAATTCCTGAGTCTGCTCTCCTGAGGATCAACTCCTGGACCCCACAAAGATGCTGCCAGTCAACGAAAGCCAGTCAGCATGACTAACTTACCTTTTTGAAAAAAGAAACATGCAAACTGTTATTTATAATGGGAACCCTCCCACACGCATGTGGTTTTGCCCTGAATAGGGAAGAAGTATTTGGGAATTGCATTCATTTTCAGCTGTTCTGGGTTATTTGGGATTCATTATATACTCTTCTTTTTTCCTCGCTGACAATAAGTTGCCATTTAATTGGTGTGATTTCAAGGGGCCCTGGGAAAGCCCTACCCATTCCCCCAAACTCACTTTTCTAGATAATTTAAGTATTTTCAAGAGGAGACAAAGCCATTATATTGCCTATGAACAACATAAAATGTGTGGGAGTCAGTAACAAACTCTGTCTCCTTTCCCAGTCCTTTTGTGAGGGGCAGGGGAGAGATGTGGGAGGATGCAGGTGAGGTATGCTATAACAAAAATAGGAAAAGATGCCATTTGGGCATGCTGGAGCTGAAGGTTAATGTTTTAAAAAGACCAGGTGAGGAGTGCTGGGGAGAACCATGAGGGAAAAGAAAGGAGAGGAGACTTTCGGGTATGAAGGTCATGTTAAAAAACGTGAACCTGCTGCAATGTGTCCTGGTTGGGGCTGAAAGACAAGCACCCAAAGGTCCCTTCACCAGGCTGGGGACCTTCAAGGATGAGAGGGAGGAGAAGGAGAGCCAGAGAACAAGGGACAGAAGCAGCAGGAAGGTTTTAACCCAAAAGGTGGCAGCAGTAATAGCAGGAAATATATGATGGTGGTGACCAAGAGTTGGGATAGAGGCAGCTGACACAAACTGACCCATTCCCATCCAGAAAGGCTTACAGGATACTGGGACTTCTTTTGATTTTTCCAGTGGGTTTTATGAGTTTCTGGGGAATTATTCCTGAGTGATGGGTGGTGAGAAAAATGCTACTCACTTGATAGTATTGTTTTACTAAAGGAGTAGGGATTCTAGCCTTTCCTATAGTTATGTTTCCTGAACAGATAGTTTCTGTTTGGAATATTGATATTATACCTCAACATAAATAGGTTTGTCCAAAGGGACAGATCCCAGGGAGCCCTGAGTTGTTTGTAAGAATAGACTCTAATAGCCATAGACAAGAACCAAAGTGAACCAAATTATGATTTCCCATACAGTGAATCTGGGTGGGGTTTTGAACCCTAGAACAATAATTTTTGTTGTTGTTCAGTCATTTTAGTTGTGCCCAACTTTTCATGACTCTGTTTGTGGTTTTCTTGCAAAGAGAATGGAATGGTTTGCCATTTCCTTCTTCAGCTCATTTTAAAAATGAGAAACTGAGGCAAAGAGGGTAAAGTGACTTGCCCAGGGTCACACAGCTAGTAAGTGTCTGAGGCTGGATTTGAACCCAGGAAGATGAGTCTTCCTGACTCCAGGCCCAGTGCTCTATTCACTGTACCACCTAGCTCCTTAGAGAGATCATATGGAATGATTTTTTGCAGGGGATTTCCCAGATTGAACTCAGTTTGACTGCCAAGAGTATGGGATGTTAGGAGATTCAGTTGGCACTGAGTTACATATAACCTGTCTCTACTGATGAAAAGAAGTACCCCTGGGATCTGTCCCTTTGGACAAACCTATTTATGTTTAAGTATAATATCAGACTCTTTGATCACAGTAAGGAAAGTCAGGAAAAAGCAAAAGGCTGATAGAGCCTTAAGAAAGGGGAAGCTGGGGACATGGAAGATGGACTTTGTTCTATTTCACAATGTTCTTAAAGTTGGCCCCATTGACCATGGTTCCATTAAATTCGGCGGGTCCTTCGACAGTTTTAAAAGCCATCAGTGGGTTACTTCACGATTCTCCAATCCTTTGACATACGTCAGCTATTTGGAGTGATTGTCCCATGTCGTTGGGAGAATGGAATAAGTCATCTCTTATAGGACTGGATGCTGCTCCCTAGCAGGAATACTAAGGAATTCCATTTTATAGTAGGAGAAAGAGAATTGTGCTGAGAGTCAAAAGATTAGGGTTCAAGTCTCACCTCTAACACTTATCAGCTCTGTGACCATGGGCAAGTCATTTAGCCCCTTGGCTTTACTTTCTATTTTGGTAAAATGGGAATTACAATAACAACAATAAAATAATACCTAAATGACTTATTTCCTCCACTAAAGTCCTATTTAAATGTCTCTTTAGGGAATGGAGTTATCTTGGGTTCTTGAAGACTATGCTGGCATAGCTTAATCTCTATTAGGTCTCAGCAGACTGGAAAACCTTTGCATATGGGCCCGGTGTGCGACTGCGTGTCTGTTTTCCAATGTTCAGTCTTACCAAGAACAGAGAGGATCATCTCCGGATTACCCGGAAGATGAGGAGTGTTTTGGCCATAGCAACTCCAGAAGACCATTTACTAAGACATAGAAGGGCTATAATCTGAATCAGTGGAGAGATCACATCAATGAAATCACACACCTTTGAAGTACTGGAATATGACGAAGCTTATAGGGTTGTTGTAAGGAAAGTGCCTCTTAGAACTTTAAAGAACCATATACATTTGATTTGTTCTTAAAATTATCCAGTTGTCAATAGCTCTGAATTTAAAGGTCAACAGATGAGAGTGGGATAGGAGTGTGTTGGTAAATGTTTAACAATCAACTCTCTGAAAAAATGTATGATTGACACACTTTTAAGTTTAATTTGCATGATCAACATTTTCTCCATCACCTTCTGAAGTCTAGACAATTAACAAACCAATAAATCAAACCTTAATTTTTAGTATTTGCCAATTTCTGAGGTATAAAGGTTCACTATGAAAATTGAACAATTTTGAACATTTTGAAAATTGAACAGTTCCCAGGTGCAGGTTTGAGCTGGCTTCAGCACACATGTGGAGTGGACCTGATGACTATCTGCCTGTATGGATGGCTTCAGCAAAGTGAATACTCATATTTCTAACAATTATTTGCTCAGACTTGCTAGCCCTTCTCTATCAGTCACACCCTTGCTTTGCCAAAACACTGATTTCTGCAGAATTAGGGCAAAATGGAATTTAGAAGCTAAATTATTTGAGTATTGCCACTAATGCTGCCTGAGTACCAGGCAAGATCAGGCCAGAAAAGTACTGAGTGATTCCGGTTGAGAGGAGTGGAGTATAGGCCGAAGGAGCCATCCCGAAGCATGTTCAGAAGCTCTGCCTTTCTTTGACTACTGGCCTGGTTCAACTCTTCTTGTCAAATAAAGGTCCTGTTTTGTTGACAGACTTTACTTTGGTTTTATGATTGCTGTTGTTACTGTCATTATTCATCTGGTTCTCATTTTTTTTAATGGGGTTCAGCTAGAAAATGGTGTGGGGGCAAATCACTACCATTCTATTATTCTTTTATATATCATCATCATTATTTTGTTATTATTATTATTATTTACGTTGAAGATACTCTTAACCTGTGATTTTTATCAGTGTGGAGAACTCCCTCTACCAATTCAGATTGGCAACTTCTTTGTTAATTGAGTTTTAGGGAATTGTTTAAGAGCATTTAGAAGCTAAATGCTCACAGTATTCATATATATATATATATATATATATATATATATATATATATATATGTATGTGTGTGTGTGTGTGTTTTAAAGTTTGCAAAACACTTTATATACATTGTCTCTCATAGAAATCTCACAACTCAATGAAGAGTAATACTAAAAGTCTTATTATCCCCTTTTACAGATGAGGAAAAAGAGGCTTAGAGAGGCAACATGACTTGTCCATGTTCACACAGCCAGTATGTATAAGAGGCAGGATTTGAAATTAGTTCCTCTTGATTCAAAGGATGGTCCTCTATCCACCATACCATTCTGCCTCTCTTTGATTTTCATGATATGGATATTTTGGCCACCGTGGCTAGTTCCATCTGCTTCATTTAGTTCTCCCCTCCTTTCCCTCCAACACATGGAGAAGGTTATGACATTAATTACATCGGAGTCTTCTGAGAATTCAAAGTTTTACATTTCCCATCCTTGGCATGGAGAAAGGAGAATTTAGCTGGATTCCAATCAAGTCTTCTATCGTACAAGTATTTGTTCTAATCACAGCAAGACCTCTAAGGGTATACTATCCCATGTTACAATACCTCTGCATTTGGCAACCAGCACCTCTGTTTCCAGACCCAAAATTCTCCAGGGTATCTCTTATCTTACCATAACACCTGCCTTGTTAGGGCCTATTGTGAAGTTCAAAACTGGGTTTTAATTCTCTGAAGTTGATACAGTTTTCTAGGGCACTCTGATACTCCCCCTTCCTAGGTACCTGTTCTAGACCCTGGTCGAGCCCAGGGGACCATCAGCATTTTAGCTGGGAGTTCTAAGGCTTTTGCATTTTTTTTTCACAAGAAAGAAAGCTGATCGGGCAGGTGCCAGCTGCTCAGCTTGCATTAGAACAGATTTACCTAATTAATGGAGCTTCAGGGTGAGTTAGAGGAAGCATTGTTTCACATGATTTTTAGTTAAGTTTCAATTGCTGGAAAGACTCAAAAATCCATGGCTTTCCAGTAACCTAAACAGACACATGATAATCAGAAAAGGGTGGATCGGTGGAAGTAGGAAGATGTTTCCAAAAGAAACATCTCATTGCTCAAAAATGTCCAGACAGAGAGCAACTCATTGATACTGGTTGCTTTGATAAACTGAGGCTCTCCCTGAAGAATTTAATTTGATAAATTAGAGAATATCATAGCCACCTGTTGGGCCCCAGTGGCAGATGCTGGAGTTCATTTTGGTTTGATAGGAAGCGGTTTATAGCTCCTTTGTTCTTGTGTCCATTCAGCAAACATTTATGAGTACCTGTTGGGTGCAAGGTGTTGTGCTAGGCTATGCATATGACTTTAGGCAAATCACTTCCTTTCTTTGGGTCTTGGTTTCCTCATCTGAAAAATGATAACCACTGAGGTCTCTTCCAGGTTCAAGTCTGTGATCCTCTGGTTGTTTGAATTAATGAAACCTCTTTGAAAGGACTTGAGAAATAATTGATTACTTATTTTACCTACTTTGGGTATTCTTCACCACATGTTAATGCACAAAACACTGCTTTCTAGCTAGTTGGTCTGCACTACAGTGGCTGTTTGCTAATAAGACCAAATCTGAGCTATCTTCCTCAACAGCTCTCTTGATTTTGAAATATTAACTGGATGTGAGGACGAACACACCTTCGCTTTGGCTCTCAGTACCTGGCAAACGATTGTAATTATATTAAATATGGAATTGCCTTTATAATTCTGTCCAAACCCTACCTACTCTACTGGTTACCTTCCAATTCCGTTTAGCACAGTGACTGGCATTATCATTGATTGGCTGATGGACTGGATCCCATTATTCTCAACTCTGACCTCAGTCTGAAGTCAGTTCATAATTTAAGAGAACAATGGACAATTCAGAGATGTTAGAGAAGAAAGTCATAGAGTTGAGTTGAAAAAAATTAAAAAATGAGGGCCAGTATGGAATAGGTTAAAGGCCTTGGGATTCCCTAGCTTTTTGCTGAGGAGCAGATGTGTGACTTAATAACAGCCTTCAAATAAATGAAGAACTATTTAAGATAGAGGGGGCATCTGGGCAAAGGGAAAAGGACTGAACCTATAGCTTAGGCATTTAGGATAAACCTAAGGGAACTTTTCTTTAGTGACAGTGAGGTCTATTGAATGTGGAATAGACTCACCAGGGTGAAGGTAAATTCCTAGAAGGCAGCAACTGTATCCGCTTATCTTGTTTCTTGCACAATGAAAGGGTTGGACTAGAATTCAGGAGTTCTTAACCTTGGGTCTATGAACTTTCAAAAATATTTTCATAGTTATATTTCAATATAATCATTGTCCTTCATAATCCTATACATTTTATTTTATGCATTTAAAGACATTCTTATGAGAAGGGGCACATAGGCTTTACTGTACTGCCAAGGGGGTCCCTTAGCACAAAGAAGGTTGAGAACCCCTGGACTAGATTATAAAGTCCCTTCCAGCTTGGATTCCATGGTATCCACATGGTGCCAAAGAAGAGACTTAAGGAGTATTTTTTTCATAGGCTGACATTTCATGTGATCTTCTCAATGCAGGTACTCCTTCCATCAAGGTCAAGTAGGCCTCATCCATGTCTTCTCGTCCTGTGAGATCCTTATCCACGTCCCTTTGTAAATCCTGGGAGGGGGTGAGAGGGAAAGGGGGAAGAGGTCCTATTGGTTTTGGGGCCTTCCTCTAAATCTCTTAGTATTTCATGGAAAGAATGGAGGCCATCCTTTGCTCTTGTCATAAGAATGGCCCACATTCTCTTCCAGTCATATATCTCTTTGATGACAATACTTTTTTATATTAATGATAATTAGTTTAACTTCTCTTCTCATCATACATTTTCCCAAAGCTACTGACAAAGGGCAAGTGTTTTTGTCCCGAAGCTTCTTTGGCATTAGCAGTAGGTGGGAGGAGGAAAAGAACCAGGTGGCTCACAGGGATTATCAACCCCTTCCCCCTAAGATAATCAAGAGATTTTTTTAACATCTAAGCTAATGGCTTCTATCATCCTTAAGGCAATCTTGCCCACTTTTCAGAGAAACCTGAAATAAGGAAGAAGCTGTGATTTATATTTGCTGCAGAAAGGAAGGGAGTTGAAATGGTAAACGCTGAAGAAATTAAAAGTCATTTTGGCTTTTCAATTCATTACTATGGAAAAAAAACACATTCTATCCTAGCTTCATTACTAGTCCTATTTTAGTGCTGATTATAATTGCAAAGGCAGTATTTTAAATTAGAATGTATAAGACTACATGTAATTAACCTGTACAGAAGGGCTGAGACTTCATATTAGACTATTAAATCAATCCCAGCAGAATCACTAATATGGAGCAATTGATTTGAAAATACTGTACCAGACTAATAAGGGACCTGGATGGTAATTGCCATCAAGTAGAATTTAACACACTTGGAGGATGTTTTGGAGTACCCAGATCTTTCCTCTGGCCTTTAACCTGCTCAAGGCTGAGAATGCAAATTCATTTGGATTTAATGCCCAAAACAGCCCAGAGATTAAGGTGAGGGAGGCTCTTTCCTGCATGACATGACTGTGGCGTCTGCACTGAAAGGGAACATTGTCAGGCTGTCTAGGTCCACTGGTCTTAGTATTTGCTTTGAGGTATGGGCAAGGAGCAAGTCAACAAGCATTTATTAAGTTCCTACCATGTGCTAAGTACTGTGCTAAGACTGAGGATACAAACTCACAGTCCAATGGGAGTACCAACACAAGATTGATTCAATGGACACTTTCTGGTTTCCCCTAACCTTCATCCCAAAGCACATACCTCCCTTTCAGGGTTTACTGTGGAAGCATCCTCCTACTTACATCCATTCCCTGTTCTTATGTAGATATCTGAATTCAGGAGGAGTAGAGAGGGAGAGAAGAATGAGCCAAGGTTCCATCTTGGCTCTCCTACTTAGAACATCTATTTTATTTACTACTTCTGTGACTTCAGGCCAGTTGTCTAATGTCTTTCAGTTCAGCCTTCTCTTTTGTAAAATGAGAGGAGTTGGGTTGGATGCCCCTTGAGGTCCCTTCCAGTTCTGTCTGTGATCCTAAGATCCTGTGTTCCCATCGACTCTTCCTTCTCTCCATTTTATGTACTTTTGGTTGTTTCTACTTTTTCTCT